CGCCGTTGTACAACGCTGTTGTCAGACGCTTTCGAATAGCACTAGTACTAATATTACTTGTTCGACAACACTCGCTCGAATAGTAATCACCCTATAGTAATCTGAATAGAGAAATAGTATAGTGAATAGAGTAGAGTATATAGATCCTTATCGTAAAAGAGGATAGAATAGAAATGTTATTATCATTAGTCGTCAGCTATTTTCTACATATATATGCGTTTGCTCTATGGCCAGGCGGTGAATTTAATTCAATAATGGGATCGCCTGTGTTTGTTCACTGGCGATCTATGTTCCAACTCAAGTGTCAGCAGCGACAATTTATTCCTATATAGTACAATCTGATATTTCGGCTATAAAACAGCTAAAACTTTGTTAGAATCTGTGCTGGGTTTATACTTTGGGCAGTAATACCGTACACAAGCTCCAGTGTGGTGGTTGGTACATTCTCTTTAAAGTTCTTCAATTGCTAACTTATTACACACTGTAGCCTGGTACAAGACAGATTTTATAAATACCAGAAATAATTTTGAGGGGAATAATTCTATTGCAAGCCTTGTGAAAAACAGAACTCTTTTTGCTTGCCATTATTATCATCATGTTTCTGTTGATGCTTTCTCTATGCATATATAAATAAGGTCGTGGATCTCTATTCAACAGATAGTATTGGCGAACATAAAAGAAATAATATCAAATATACTGACCCTCTTGGTTCATTTCTCGCAACGCGGGCATCACAGAAGTTGCATTTCTATGCAAATAATGTAAGCCAGGTGATTGCCCATTTATCCACAGAATATAACGACGGTATATTAATATAATACCTATGACTAAATCTATCTATCTATCTATCTATCTATCTATCTATCTATCTATCTATCTATCTATCTATCTATATATATATATATATACACACACATATACATATATTTATCTATTTATATATATATTTATCACTCCCTATATCTATCTATCTATCTATCTATCTATCTATCTATCTATCTATATATATATATATATATATATATATATATATATATATATATTTATCTATCTATACATATATACATTTTATCTATCTCTATATATTTATCTATATATGTAGATTTATCTATCTATACATATTTATCTCTCTCTCTATATATATATTTATCTATCTATCTATATATTTTTATTTATCTATCCATATATATATATATATATATATATATATATATATATATGTATGTATTTATCTACTATCTATGTATTTGATTTCACTTTTCTTCGAAATAACTATGTCTTAATTTTCATGCGGAAATTCATACACAGATATTTACATATACGTATATGGGTAAAATTTAAGACATAATATATTTGTAAAAGAACAACGTGAACAAAGACAAAAGGAAAACGTATTTTAACCGACGCGTTTTTGTTCTCTGAGGGACTTTATAATTTAAATATTAATTTGCATAAAACATTTCAAGTACATGTTTTACACCCTTTCGTTTTCTTAGACATTAAAAATGTGACTTAGCATCCGCCATATTTTACCTAAACTTTTCAGTTAATCTTATGCATATTTATGGTCGTTTCTTAAAATAAATAATCTTGAAAAACTAATACAAATTTTGCTGTTGTCTATAAATACTTGTTACAAAATAAATATTTGCCCTGATAAAGTCCCTCAAAGGAAGAAACGTATTTGTCTTTGTTCACATCTATGTATATGTGTATTTTATTGATATGACATTTTGTATTTATTTCATTTCGACTTTTCAGTAATGATTGCAACTGAATTTGCCAAAGTTAAATGATTTTACTAATTAGTCTGATTTAACTTAATAAGTCGCTTAAAAATTGTCTCTGCCTAATGAATGACGTTAATTAACAGGATCTGTTAACACATGGGAATTATGAAGAAATATTGATTATTCTTGCATGATAATTATTTTGGCTTGTCTGATTTTTGGTTATTTAGTTTATATTAGTTGTAAGTTAACATTAAACCGCTTAGTCTGTTCCACCATTAACTTTAGCTGGGGAAAGAAGAGGTTGATTTGCAAACGGATTGGTGCGAAATCGATCACAACGACCTGGGATAGAATTTGAATTGTACACGCCAATCTCACCTTATACTTTCTGTACTGATACTGCTATGATAATCCCCCAAACAGGGAGCGATGGATAAACTGTTTTTTTTTAAATTACGTAAAGATAAAAAATAACACTAACATCTCATTTTAATCGATATATTTACCAAAATTACACAAAAATATCTTGAAATAATAAAAGGTAAATTTATTCAATATATTCGCTATTGGCTTCAACCACAGCCTTCAGACGACTTCAGAATCTCCAGCAAATTTTCTGGACGGTCTCCTTGTTTTAGTTGGGTAAATGCTGCCATAACCCTTGTCTTCATTGCATCTTTTGTATTACAAAGAGTTTTGTTGGTCTCTCGCTCAACTCTGCCCTACGAATAATAATGAAGGAGGTTACAATCTGGGGAGTTATGTGG